CATTTCTACCCTCCATCCCTGGGTGCAGACACAGGGCCCGTGTGCTCCTCCACTTTCTCTCCACTAGACTCCCTGATTGGGTTTCCTCCAGCCTGGATCTGGGGAGGATGAACTCTGTTGCTGGTTGTTGTTTCTGGGCACAAGTTCTCCTGAAATCCCAAGGTCTTCAGCTCCCCACATCGGCAAACCTCTTTTTAGTTTGGCCCTCCCGGTAGGGTTTTCTGCAGCCAAATGCACTTGGCTCTTTGGATTCTCAACCCCAAGGCTCTACTGTGTTCTGGTGGCTTTTTCTTAACCTACTCCTGCTCCTGCCCAGCCAAAGGGACAGTGGTAACAGTTTTCTCTGCCATTCCCCAAAACAAGCACATAGAGTTGCAGAATATTCAGCTGGAGGGGACCTCAGAGAACACCGGACCCGAGCTATTTTAGAGAGGCTCAGAGAGGGCAGCTGACTTGTCCAGGCTCACGCAGCAGTGAAAGGTACTAAAATCGGGCCTCCCCTCCCGGCCAGCAGTCCTTCTAGCTACGTCAGACCAGATGGCCCTGCCTTTCTTTTCTATTTCCTTCTCTTTCTGCCTCTTTCTCTTCCTTTCCTTTTTTATTGAACTATTTCCTTTTTTCCCTTTGAAATGTCCTCTTTGTGTTAAGCAGGACGGCTGGCATTTGGTGGGACCAAAGTGATACTCAGAGCCAAACCTCTGTCCTGGCACAGTTCTCCTCAGTCTTTTCCAGAGGTTTTTCTCTTTCCTGGTCCCTCTTCCCCCAGGATGCTCAGGGGGACCCTGTCCTTCCCTCTCCCTGAGCCAGCCTATTCAGCTCCGGTTTCTCCTTCCAAGTACTGAGGAGGCAGATGGGAACCCTCAAGGAATCAGCTCCTCTCTGTAACCTTAGTTTCCTGGTCTTGAAAATGGAGTGAGGGTCTCTGAGGGGGAAACATGGGCATCTGTGTATGTGTGTGCGTGTGCGTGCGTGCACGTGTGTGTGTATGCATGCCTCCCGTGTCCCCCAGCAGCTCCGGGGGGGACATGGGAAAGTTAATTAGCACCAGGATGAAAGGTGCTGTGGGATAATTACAGGTAATATCAGGGTGGCCGGGAGGGTGGGGCAAAAGGCCCCTAGATCTCGGGTTGGGGGGTGGGCAGCCCCTAGCCCCACTCCTGCAAAGTGCATCAGACACCTGGAGAGGCGTGGGGGGGGGGTGGTGGAAGGAGCATTCTGAGTGAAGGGTCTTTGTCTTTACAGAGAAATGCTTGTTAGTTGCTTAGGAACTGGGCTCTCTTCCCTGATCCAAGCCTCCCAATGTTTTGCTGAGCTTGGAAGGGGGATGCCGGGCTGGGGCTTGAGGATCCCTTGGCCGCCAGCCCTTTCCCTGGGGCCTCTGAGACTCTGATGGGACTCCTGGGAGGGACTCTCATCTGGGGTGGGCGCTCTTTCCCACTGCCCGAAGCCACACTGCTTGCTCCAGCCCAGGTGGGGAGCAGAGCAGGTGAGGTGGAGGCAGGGAAGGAGAGGAAAACACGCATTCACTGAACAGTCTGCATGCCAAGCACTGCGCCTGGGTGCCTCGCCTGCTCTCTCATCTAACTGGTGTAACAGATCTTTAAGTAAGGCACTTATTTCCATGCTTTTCTCATTATACTGTTTTTTTTTTTTTTCAGTTGGAACACAGGTCCAGAACAGTTGAGGAAGTTGCCTGAGGTCACGGGGCTATCAATGGTAGAGAGTCTATGTGAATTTGGGTCTGCTGAGTAAGAAAAGTTGTGCTTTGTAAACGACACCACTTAAGGCATCTACCAGGCTCGCTTTCTAGCCCACAGCTGCTCAGCTGTAACCTGGACCCACCACCACCATCATCATCGTCATGGTCAGGTAGTCTTCGCATATGGCTTTCTTTCCCTCCTTTTCCACCTCTCTCCCTTCCCTGAGAGCAGTCGTCACACAGGTGAACTTCCTGGGGAGAGGGGTGATTCCATGGGTTGAGGGTGGTGAACTGTTGGGGTAGCCGCTTTGGGCAGGTGCGGTGGGGGGGCCGGGCCGGGCTGTTGCGGTGTCCAGGAGCTGGCCCTCCCGCAGATCACACTTGGTCTAGAAGAGCTGAAGCTGGGGGAAGGGCAGATGCTGGGTGAGACTCCCCTTAAATTCTTCTGGGACTTCCAGCCTTCCTTCTCGGCCCACCTGGCTTCTGAATAAATAGAAGGTCTGGCCTTTATTTTTTGTAGCGCAGGGAGTAAAAGAAGAGCAATGTGTCTCCCCGAGTACTGAGAGTGACAGGCTCAGAGTTAACAGCAGACGCCACCACGACTCGTTACGGAACAGGGAGGAGGTTCCTTAACTCCTGGGAATGTCAGTTTTGTCCTCTATAAAATGAGACCAGCAGCCCTGGCGTTATTAGCTTGCTGGGATGGTGACGGAGAGAACCCTGGCGGGGGCCTGGAAGCAAGGCAGGAGTGCGTTACATGAGATACCGCAGCGCCTGGCCTGCAGAAAGCGCTCAGCAAACGCCATCTGATCATGATGATGATAACGTGCGCTCTCCGATCCCTGCAAAGGGCTCACTACATTTCTTAGCTGCTTTGTTAGAGATCTCGAAGCAATCTATGTGCTCATTTTGTTCCTTCCTGGAGGAGGCAGTGAAAAGAAAAGGGGCAAGAGGCCCAGGGTCTTGTGCGGGCAGAGAGCAGAGTCAAGGGTGGATTTCCCAAGGTATCCCTGGCCCTCATGCCTTCCTTTCCTGGCACTGGACCTCCTCCTCTGTGGCTTTGAGGACTATCTGGCAGGTCTGGCTTCAGCCTCGAGCCTGGGCCAGCTTTGTTCTTTTTTCACGTTTTGGGGCCAGGAGGGTGGGGGTCTCTCCTGCAGCTGAACTCAAAGCCCAAAACACCAGGAGAAAAGAAAAGAGGAGGGGGGGAGGAAGGAAAGCAAGCCGATAATTTCCTCGAAGGATAAACATCCGATTTTTTTTCCTCACCCAAAATAAACATGCTAGCCACAAGGAATTAAAAGCAGAAGAGGGGAGGATGTGTCTCGATTTGGGGCTGCTCGAGTAAGCTGACCTGCTCTTTATCCCGGCCTTGGGCACTAACCGGAGCTGCCAATTACACTCCGGGCCTGGTGGGGTGGGGGCTGCAGGGAGAAAGGCCCAGGGGTGTGAGGTTCACACATACCCAGAATGTCCCTTCTGAGGCTGCCTTCCGTGACATTGCAAATGGACACTTCCTTTTGCTTCTCCTTTTAGCCCTGCTGACAAGCTTGCCTGGTGGGTAGAAGAGAGTGAGGAGTTCCTACCTGGGCCGGCATCAAAGGCCCTTCTACAGAACAAGAAGTTAGTGTCCACCACCTGGCGGGGGAGCTAAGTCTATCAACGTGGGGGCGGGGAGGCGGGGAAGCGTTGTCCAATTCCCTTCACAGACTCAGTCTCCCACCTCATCGCGTTCTTCAGATCCCCACCACTCGTGTCTTCCAACTAGTGAAGATATGCTCAGCTGGGCTGAGCGGTTGGCCAGGGCCCCTCTGCCTTCCAGCTAGTGTGGGGCATGGCTCTGAGAAGGTAATAACCCTGTGCCCAGCTGCAGCCTGCTCTTTCATCTGGGGAATCTCAAGGCACTGTGTACTCATGAGTCACCAACACTGCTGTATTCTGGCCAAGGAGAGGGGGGTTATTAACTCTTGGAGGGAAACTGAGTGGGGGGTGCTGGGGAGAGGATGGCAGTGCTGAGAGGACTGGAGCTGGGGTGGGGGGGTCGTCAAGGAACCAGAGTGCAGTACGTGAATGAGACCGTAGCAAAAGAGGTACCTCCAAGGGGGCCTTGGGTGGGAAAGCCAAGTGACCTTCAGAGGACATCCAGGGGAGTTAGGCGCCGAAAATCCTCGCCTCGCAGACACCAAGGAGTTCCTTCATAGTTTTCTAAAAGCATAAATCAGATTGTACCCTTTCTTCCCCTCCAATCTATTTATTATCCAATGGTTTCCACTGCTTTCAGGGTACAATCCAAAATTTCAGCATGGCTGCAAGGCCTGGCGTGGCCTGGTCTCTGCGCATCTGTCCAGGTGGCCACGCTATTGGCCTGCAAGCTGCCATGCGAGCCCCTGCCAGTCCCGGGAGCTCGGAGGTGGTGTTCCCTCTCTTTGGCATGGGCTCCAACCCCCAGCCCCATTCACCGTTAACCCCTACCACACTTTTCAGCCCTGAAGTTAAACAGCACTTCCCCAGAGAGGCCTCGCTTGGACCTTTACTGTGCCGCTCCTCCACAGAGCAGGTCTCCTTACACCCTCACAGCATGCGCCACATCTGTTGTCATTTGCCTGTGGTCATCTGATGAACGTTTCCCCGCATCCTGGACTGTAAGCTCCGTGAAGCAAGCCTTAGGTTTTGTCTGCCCTGTTCACATATGTATCCCCAGCACCTAGCAGAAGGTCAGGCACAGGGACGCCTGGGTGGCTCAGTCAGTTAAACGTCTGCCTTCGGCTCAGGTCATGATCCCAGGGTCCTGGGATCGAGTCCCGCATCGGGCTCCCTGCTCAGTGGGGAGCCTGCTTCTCCCTCTCCCTCTGCCTGCCATTCCTGCTGCTTGTGCTCGCTGTCTCTGACAAATAAATAAATAAAATCTTAAAAAAAAAAAAAAGTCAGGCCCATACCAGGTGCTGACAATATTTGCCGAACAAATGATGCTGAATGTCAGAGTTGGAAGGGACCATGGTGATAAACCAACTGCCCCAAGTCTCCTTCCTACCTTGATTTCACAACTGAGGGAGCAGAACTTTAGAGAGGACTTGTGATTTACTCAGGGCCACAGTGCCTCAGTGACAGTTGAGGCCTAGGGACCCTCACCTCCTGCCTATCCATCTCTCCCAGCACCCCCTCCTCCCCCCGCCACAACATACACACACTTGCGTTTACAGGAAAGCCCCAGGTCCCAGTGCTGGACGGTGATTGATTTCTTCTTCTTAGTTTTTGAAAGACGACAGGTTAGGAAAGAACACATCTAACCAGTAAGCCCTGGATGATTTTTTTTTAATTTGGAAGAGAAGGGGTTCCATACCCAGTGGGGGTGCCATACCCAGACCGTCGCTGGTGGGCACTGTGGACACACACCCCCACAGTGTGAAGCCTGATGTCTGGCAGGCAGTTATCTCTACTTGGATTTATCCTTCGGCTCACTGTTTCCAGCTCCGGGGGTCTGGTAATTGGGTGAGTCCTGGTAATTTTGGGTCATGAATTGGGTGCTTGCTTCAGGTTCGCTCAGGTGGAAGCGGTTCAGGAATCTGTCCATTTTCCAAGAGCCTGGAAGGACAAACAGACCAGAGGAAGGCAGTGAGGGACAACCATGGACTGGGAGCTGGCAGGGACTGACAGGGAGGCCAGCTCTGGGGAAGTGGAGACAGCAAGTGAGGACCTTGGTCATTGGGCTGAGGGTGTCAGAGTGCCTGGGGCCGCCTTCTGGGTCCTCGCTGGATGTTAGCAGAGTGTCTGGAAAGAGGCTGCTCCCCAGGGAACAACGGGGACTGAGTCTGGACTGGGTCAAGGCCTGCCTTTGGTCTCCTTCCCCAGGGCCCTTTATTTGGCATAACTCTGACTCCTCACTCACACGCAGGAAGGAAGTGCCCTGTCGGGTGGGCTGCCCGCTTCCTCCACCCACCCCTCTTTTTCCACAGGCTCTCCTGACCCCATGACTGAGGCCTTAATGCTTCTTTCCTTCACACCAGGTCACCCCAGCTGCTGGGGCTGAGACTGGCCAAGTGTCCATGTCCTTCTTCCAGTCTCCTCCCCAGAACCCCAGCTGTGGCAGAGGCTGAGGGGCAGGGCATATGGCTAGGCTTCTCCCTGCTCCTAAGCACCTGGATCCTGCAGGAGCAGAGTATGGGTGAGAAGTCCCCGGTTGGTGCCCAGGTGCTCCTCCAGGGGAGAAAGCACAGGGGTGTGGGGGGAGGTGCCTCTTCTGGGGCAAGTGTGGACAGGCCTGGCAGCAGGGCAAGAAGGGCGCAGCCCGGGGCACTGGGGAGAAGCTGAGGGAAGTGGTCACAAGTGTATTCCCACGCTCTTGTTTCCCAAACCCTGGGCCTCCAGCACCCTCTGCGCATGATTGCCAGCTACAATCATCCAGGATGCCCAGCTTAACTTGAATTTGAGATAAACAACAAATAATTTGTAAGTCTGTCCCAAGCATTGCATGAAGCATACTTAAAAATTCATTCCTTGTTTGTCTGAAATTCAAATTTAACTCAGCATCCTGTATTTTTTTTCTTTTTCTTTTTGGCTAAATCTACCCACCTTCCCCGGGTGGACGGAGTGATCGGGGAAGACCTTGCCCGGAGCAGAGCTAGGCAGTGACTGATGGGCCCTGGCCCGGCGGAAAAGAGTAATCTCTAAGGAACAGAGAGAGCAGGACGACAGCTGGCAGCCTTGCCTTCCTCTTAGAGCTGCCCTTTCTAGGCCTGTGGTCCTGTCTGCACCCGCTACCCTTTACAACAAGGAAGACAGAAGTCCCCCGAGGTGCTCTTACTCCACTTATCATCCTCCCCCACCCCCCCCGCCGGGCTGTTTGCACTTCCAAGATGTTTTCAAGGAAAACAAAAATGTTTTAATCCAAAGAAACAAGACAATAATAATGATAATGCAAATAATAATAATAATAACATCTATATAGTGCTTCCTATGTGCCAGGAACTCCATGCTTATTCATACACTTAATCCTCACCAGGGGAGACTATTTTTATTCCCAGTGCACAGATGGGAGGATGGGGCACAAGATGGGGTTCTGGTGAGGATGCTTCTTAGGGGCAGGGATGGAGGAAAGGGCCTCTTCAGGTTCCCGCAGGTCTGATCTGGTGACTGCATGCTCAGATTAGGGACAGAGGCGCTGGGCCCTGGGAGAGCCTCTCCTGGGGGGAGACTGCTGCTGGGTGACAGGTGGGTCACTGAGTGCGGTGGGGTCCTCCACTGGGAGGGGAGGCAGGGAGGCACTGGTCTGGCGCGGCCTTCACACCCAGAAAGCCTGGCTGGCTGGAAAAGAACTATGGTATCATGATCCTGGGAAAGTGTGTGCATGTGTGTATGTTTGTACGTGTGTGTGTGCGCACGCGCGTGTGTGCAAGCCAGGAAAAGGGCTCATGGGTGAACTGGTGTGTGACAGGCCTGGGGACAAAGGGGCCTTCCCCACTGACTAGGGCAGGAAGAAACCTTGGCGGCCAGGAGGGAATTGAAACTCTCATCACGAGATCAGGGCAAGTTGGTGGAAAGAAATCCCCTGTACCCTGAGGGAGATCTTGCAGACTTTGCCCTCCCCGAGCTCAGAGCGCTTCTCTTGATGGAGCTTGGAATGCCCTTGGAGCTTCCCAGCTCCTTCCTGGTCACATTGCGACGATGCTGTGGTTCTCGGGCAGCTCCTCAAACCAGCCCCTGTGTCCCTCAGGAGAGTGGGTACAGCGCGCTGGCTGCTAGCCTCCCGCTGTCTCCTCCCCTGGCTTGGCCGTGACTCCTCACACCCCCGTTTCCTGCCACAAAGGGCAAGAGGAACTGACCCTCTGCAAGTTCTAGAAGGAAGAGGGGTGAGTCAGACCCTCAGGGGTGTGTGTGTGGGGAGAGATGGGGAGCTGGGAGGCTGCGGCTTCGTGGTCACCCTGTGGAGGAAAGTCCCCTCCTGTGTGGCACTGCTCTGTCCCGTCCTGGAGCTGCAGAGAGGGTGCTACTGCTGGCTGTGCGCGGGCCCCTCCCCTTGGACCCTTGGGCCCACCCAGGATGGGCTCTTCCTAGGCCCAGGCAGGGGTAGTGAATGCCCTGCAAATGCCTCTGGAGGGAGAGAGGAGGAGGGGGTCGGAGCCTGTTTCCTGAGCCGCACAGTGGCTAGAACACGGAGGCCTGTGTCCTCAGGGCGGGCCACCGTATCTGACGTGCCGCTTGTTCCCTGCACAACCCGAGGGGGCACCGTTCCCATCCCGCGAAGCCTTATGCCGCCGCTGCGCCTAGAGGCCAGTCTCTCACCTATTGGTTGGTGCCAACAGGGAAGATGTTGGCGATGAAGGATATTAGATGTGAGAGATGTTCCAGAAATGGGCCAAGGGGAGGGCTGGGCAAGCTTACCTAAAGCCGTCAGGGGTTTGTGTGTGCCTGATCTCCCCTAGACAGTGACTTCAACAGTTGGGAGCGGGGCTCCAAGATTTCGGCAACTCATCCGCCGAACTTGAGTCCCAGGGGCTGCAATGGCTAGCATGTTCAGGAATCGCCCTGGGGCAGGTCTTGCCAGTCACTCTTTGCCCCCGGCTTCCCCAGCCTGTGGGGCTGGTTTAGCACTGTTTGGGCGTGGTTCATCACATGGGCCTGGACAGGCCTGGTGGGCCTATCAGGGTTAAACAGGCATCCCAGGACTGAGAAATAGTCTCCTGGTCCAGCCTCTCGCCCTTGGAGGCCTCGTGAGGATGGGGTGGACAGCTCCTCTGCTGGAATGGGCAAGCTCTGGGCTGAGGGCAGGCTGACAGCCCACCTCCTGTCTGCTGGGCATGGGGGGTTTGCTTGCACCGAGGCCCTACTCCCGCCCTCAACAGGTTGATAATACAAGGTAATGAACACTGGACTAGTAACAAGCTAGGTCTTCGCAGAGTGATCTTGGCCAGCAGCACAACTTTGCAGCTCCTGGCAGATGGGGTCCCATCCCTAGCATCGCGCCTGTCCTCTTTAGCAGGACCACTCTTAAGACTTCCCAACGGTAGGGGCGCCTGGGTGGCTCAGATGGTTAAGCGTCTGCCTTCGGCTCGGGTCATGATCCCGGGGTCCTGGGATCAAGCCCCGCATCAGGTTCCCTGCTCAGCGGGAAGCCTCCTTCTCCCTCTCCCACTCTCCCTGCTTGTGTTCCCTCTCTTGCTGTGTCTCTCTCTGTCAAATAAATAAAATCTTAAAAAAAAAAACAAAAGAGTTCCCAACGGCACAGGACACAGTGTTCCCTGTGTGTCCTTGCTCTAGCCAAGAGACATTCCCAACTGATTTGCCATTGGGTCCTCAGCAGGCCCTCAAGTGTTTCCCTCTCAGCCCAGGAAGTGGGGGCTGGGAAGCCCCCACTGGGAGGGAGGCCTCCATTCAGGCAGGCTGGAGAACAGCTGGGGGGCGGGTCCTGAGAGTTGGGGGCGGCCTCCTCTGACCCGTTGTGTGAGTTGAGCTGCTTGAGCCTCTGCTGGTGAGGAGCCGCCCTGTCCCCCAGGGTGGGTGAGTTGTGTCTAACCAAGGCGGCCACCCCTTCCTTGTCTCCCCGTCCCCCACCCCTTTTCCTAGGGGCACCGTTGCTTCTTGTCAGGGGACAGTGGCCCTGAAGAAAAAACAAAAGTTGAACGGCAGCCTACTGACCGCCCCATCGAGCGCCCGGCTCAGGTCTGTAATTTGTCTGGCGCTTTGCAGGGGCCGGTTGCGGTGACAGAGGCACTGATGTCCTTCCACCGAGATTAATGACGTCCTGGTGCTGGTAGGCGGGAGGCCTGGGCCTCTTATGTTTTGTGCCATTAAATGACATTCCGAGACTTCCACTCAGGAGCTGAAAAGCCCTCGTTCCATCACATCCAATTACTCCTGGAGAATATTTGCTGAGTGGCTGATCCTGCTGGCTTGAGAGGCTCGGGGCAGAGGGGACCACTTCGACTTTGGCAGGAGTGAGAGGGTGGGGATGCTCGGGGTGGCGGGGGGTGGGTTCCAAGGTGGGCAGGGGTTACCCAGCTCCTCTGGAGCACTCAGGAGGATTGGAGAGTGGAATTCCTAATTACCCAGTAAATGGATCACCCAGGATGCCTCCCTCCCTCCTGGGGCCGGGGGTGGGGATGGAGGTGGGGGTGGGGAAGGGAGCGAGAGAGGAGGCTCCAAGCTGTTGATCTGAGCTTCCAGTGATCAATTCCAGTATTTGCTGCTGGCGGCAGGCTGGAGTTCTGGGTGGAATTGGGGGATGATCTGTGGTTTCCCGATGATCCGTTCAATACTGCTTTGGATGGTTGATGCTTGGCTTGACTGGGGCGTGCTTCCTGCGGCCTGTGGAGGTTGCAGGCAGTTCCTAGCCAGGGTGCCTGTCTGAGAGTTGCCCAGGATGGCCCCATCTGGTCCGCTGCCAAGCCCCCAGTCCTCCCCATTCTGCCAGGTGGGTGGGGCTCTTCGGAGGCAGAAGAGGGCTGCCTCACACAAGCCCACACAGTGACTCAGGGGCTGGGCCCGGGGTGGGGGGGTGGTGGTTCTAGGGTCTGGCCAGGTGAACCACCATGGGAGGTCATGGCAGGGGGTAGGGGCTGTTTTGCAGTGGGCTGTGTGTGTTTGTG